ATCGACGCAAGTCAGTTGGTATAGAAGACGATGGTGGAATTGGCGACAGCGACATAGGAGTGTGATGCTGATGGTGACCGACTTCTGGGGCGTGGAAACACGTGGCGCAGGCCTGAGTGCTTGTGTGACTTCGACAAGACTATGGAGCGGGGTTGATTCAAGATGGCAAACGCATGAGAGCTTGAAGTCAACCGGGCGCAAGGGGTGAACTGATCATCTACCATGGAGTCATGTTGAAGGTGGAGCTGGATTGAAGGGCTACGACGAAAGGATCTAGTGAATCAAGGCCTATTCAACAAAGAGGGAAAAGCGAGTGACATGCAGTTCGGACTGGAGCCCAATGGTCTGATGGAAGCGTGAAACTCGTCATCGGTCGGCGATGGTTGATGGTATACTCCGCAGTGGAGGTTGAGTGGTGTGGGTCCGCGACCCTTGAAACTCGACCGGGACAGCGGAGGCTCGACGCGGTAATAGCGGTGAGGCGTGCGGTACGCACAGGGCATGGAGACGGGCCAGGGCTCTGGTGGTCATACATGTGGTGAGTCAACTGCAAATTTGACTTGGGATGACTAAAAGCAATGGTGAAATTCCTTCAAGTTTCAGACAGGCAGTCAAGAAAGGAGCGGTGATGTTGAGTTCAGGTAACTCTTATGTGTGACACCCAATATGTGAGTTGTTCACTTTCAGGCAGGTCAGTGATCAATGTGTGATGGCGTTGGACGGATACTCTGAAAGTTGGGAGCGCAAACTAGAGTAATGTGGAACTTAATTCGGTTCGAGTGTTGACTCTGGTCAAGAAAAGAAGGGACTACAAGTTGCAGGTGGAGTCATATGGAGTCTTTGGAGTAGCAGCGGTACTCATGGGATAAGCTCAAGTCCAACGTACATGGAAGTTTGACGCATTGACGAATTCAAGGAGGTGGAGAATATTCGTCAAGGTGGAGTTTGTTAGAGTTGTGTCGAATATTGTGTACACGGTAGATTACAGTTGGCTTTGTATTTGTATTGTGTTTAGATAGGATATGAAGTCGTGTCCTAGTAGGACACTTGTATCCTAGGTCTCTCTTATATAGCGGGGGTAGACACACAATGTAACCTATGCCAACATAATAGCACCGGAACGCAGGGGAAGCCGACGGCATGTGCCGGTGTCCAGGGCGACCGGGTGCGATATTGTAGCGGTGTCACGGGGAGGAGCGCCCATAGTCAGGCCTCGGGGATGTAGCCATATCGGTGAACCTCGTTAACAAATCTCGGTGTCGTGCTCGTGTGATTGCTTGGTTCTCGGATGATCAACGGTATGCCTCGGATTTATTCTAACACACCTGTTGTCCATCTATACATATAGATGCTCTAACAAACGCGCGCGCAGCTGTTCCGGGCACTCCAGCGGACGCGCAAAATACGCGCGCGCTATAGTTGGTTCAGCACGCAGAGCAAAACGGTATCACGTGTCACTTATTTCGTGTGCCCGCTCCTGCGCGCTGGACAGCGACGACTCGCGCGTGACTTCCACCAACCGCCGGATCCAGCCGCTGGCGCCACCGCCCGCACCTCCCCATTTACTCCGACGACCCGATGACGCTTCCCCGGCCTATCCCCGCACGCCGCCGCGGCTTCCTCCACCTCCTCTCGTCGCCGCCGCCCCTCGAGCGTACCATTCCTCCGACAAACAGCGTCGGGCTTCCCATTGCCGCTCGGCGCCCACAAGGTGTTTGACAAAACGTTTGCAAGGTATGTATTGCTTCAACTTATTTTGTAGATGAATTTGGTGCATGTTGTTTGTAGTTTTATAGACTAGTTTAAATTCAATATTGTAGATGAGTTCGTCATATGATTTTTCCGACGAAGAATTTGATATTCAAGAGGAGGAAGACCTTGCAATGATCCTAGCTATGCACGCCAATAAAAAGCCAAAGCACGATGGTTCGGTTATGCATCGTCAGAAAATTTGGAGGGATAATATCGATGCCGACAACAGATTGATGAGGCACTATTTTGTGGATAATCCCGTATACCCCGAGTCATACTTTCAGCGTCGTTTTAGGATGAGCATTGATCAAGTTGTTTAAACGCATTGCAAAGAAACTGGCAAGCCATGATCAGTTTTTTCAACAAAGGAGGAATGTCGCCGGAGAACTCGCGCGTAGCACCTTTCAAAAGGTGACAGCTACTTTGCATATGTTGGCATACGGTATTCCTGCTAATCTAGTTGATGATCACTTGGCCATGGGTGAGAGTCAAGCCATCATGTGTGACAAGTGCTTCGCAGTCGGAGTTGTGCAAGTGTTTGGTCTGGAGTATTTGAGAGCTCCCAATGCTGAAGACGCCGCAAGGCTTTTGAAGATGAACAAAGCTCGCGGGTTCCCAGGTATGCTTGGCTCAATAGATTACATGCATTGGAGTTGGAAGAACTATCCAAGGCATGGCATGGACAATTTCACGGCCAAAAAAAAGGTTTCACTATAATCCTTAAAGTAGTGGCCGGTCAAGAGATTTGGATTTGACATGTTTTTTTTGGAATGCCTGGATCTTTGAATAACATCAACGTTCCTGATCGGTCACCACTCATGAATAGGATTTCAAATGGTGAACTGTCACCGGTGCAATTTGTAGCAAATGGTCATACATACAACTATGGCTACTACATTGCGGATGGCATCTACCCAAAATGATAAACATTTGTGAAGCCGTTGAAAAAATCAAAAGGTAAGAAGAATCTTGATTTCCACAATGCTCAGGCGGTGGCTAGGGAAGATGTGGAGAGAGCTTTTGAGATTTTGCAAGCCCAATTTGCTATTGTGAAAGAACCGGCTAGATTTTGGGATCAAAAGATCCTTTAATACATCATGAACGCTTGTGTGATCATGCATAACATGATCATCGAGAATGAGCGTGGGAAAGATTTAGACTACTCCCAATATGAGCTCTTGGGACGTCCAGTGCGGGTGCGACAGAGGGCTAAGAGGGTGGCTTGCCTCCTATCATGCCATTCGACGTGTCGAAACACATGATGATCTTCAGAAGGATCTAATCGAGGAGTGGTGGGCATGGAATCAAAACTAGTGATTTGTATGTTTGATGTTGTAACTATTTGTTTAAATTGTAATAAAACTAAACTATGTATTGTTGATTTATTTTTTATGTGTTTGATCTTTTTGGTTTTGTTCGCCGCGCGCAAAAAGTTGCTATTTCGGCGTTGTAAATGTTATTTTAGCACGCCGCGTGTTGAGCGCATGTTGGAGATGCTCTTAAGGAAAACCAAATTTAAATATAGACCCTTTGTAATTACTATTATCACCCTACCCTGGCTTGCAAAGGCCACTGAAACTAGAGACATATGCATCCTTGTACACGAAACGAACAAGGAAATTAAACAAAAATCTAACGAAAAGAGGTAGCTAGGACCCTTGGCACAATCACAGTGCAGGCTCTTTTCCTACATGCACCCTAAACTAGCTTTGCAAGGACTATATGCACCCCCTCTACAACACGAAACGAACAAGGAAATTAAACAAGAAGAGAAACACACATCAGGTACGCTCTCCTCCTCATCTGTTGTTTCCGTCCATCACCATTTCGTTTCCTGCCAAAACTGAGAAAGAAACATCTCGACTCACATATACAGTAGAGAGAGAGATGGCTGAAGCTTCCGGCGAGCCGGCGGCTCATCCTCAGGCGACATCTCGCCGGCCATCTGCACCGACACACAGCCACCATTGGCTGCTGGCGTCCAACGATGACGCGAACTTCATCCAGGACGAGATCCGGTCATGAACGGCTTCCTCCGCCACCTTGCCAGGACCCAGCAGCTGACTCCCAGTGGTGGGCAGCGCGGCGGCGACGAGGAGGTCCAGGTGTGGGTTAGGCAGGTCAGGGACCTCGCCAGCGACTCCCGAGACTGCATCAACCTCTACCGGCACACATCGCCCCGCCGTGCAACGGGGCTGCTGCGCTACATGCAAATGCCATGGTTCCTTGGCAAGAAAGGAGACGGTGACGAGGCCAGAGGGCGGCCGTTCAAACTCAATGTCATTCTAGCACCAGATGATGCAGAAGGTACCGGTCTAGCTCAGCAAGTGTACCAAGATCCTTCGGTGTCCGGCGGCTTCAACGTACCAATCCTCTGGCAATATTCCATGACCTGCTCTGCCAGCTCCTTCCTGACCAAAACCAGGACGTGCTGGACGACACATCATCAGATAACATGAAACTCCTGTGGAGCATCCGAGGCCGCTTGGAAGGCACAAGGGTCCTGATTGTTCTCGACGACCTCGATGATTACCCGGGCATGTGGGACCAGATCAGAATTGCTCTCAACTTCATAAGCCTCCCTGCAGGTAGCGCCATCATAGTGACCACAAAGGATGATGGGCTTGTCAAGTCATCTTCTCCAGATAAAGTGGTAACCTATTCCCTTGTGGATTTCTTCTTCAAGAGAGCAGTGGCCCTTGTAGCTAGCAATTTTCATGATGGCGATGTGCGGGGCGTCATACATAGCATTCTCAAGAGATGCGACCCGGATGTCGCTTCCATGAAGATGTTCCTCCATGCCTTGTATGCCAATCCCCACAGGACAAGACAGGAGCTGGAGAAGCTGCAGGAAAGCCTGTGTTTAGAGGCATGCCGCCGTCCTTGCGACGACGATAGCAGCTATAACTTCAAGCGGATGCTCATGTTTTCCTACAGTGACATGCCTAAAGAGTGCCACATGTGCTTCCTGCACCTATGTATTCTCCTTCCACAAGATCGATCACAGCATCAGGAGGACATCCCTAGTGAGAAGATGGGCAGCCCAAGGCCTGATATCTGTGGAAGGTGATCATGGTTCAGCTGAAGTGGCAGCCGAGCGCTGCTTCGGTGCATTTGTCAGCCGAGGTCTCATTTGCCCTGCTGACATTAGTGATGCAGGCAAGATCAAGACTTGTGTAGTGCCTCCTCCAGTGCATCGCCTCATCACTGAGGTTGCAGAAGAAGAGAATGTCATCAGTGTCGGCTCCATGATCTGCAATGCACATCTTGGTGACAGCAAGAGGTGCCTGGGATCACTGCCCGCGTCCTCTCAACTGCTGCTGCTGAAGGTGCTTGATCTAGAAGGCTGCAAAGGCTTGGAGAAGCGCCATCTGAACAACATCTGCAAGTTGTTCATGCTCAAGTACTTGAGCCTCAGGAACACTGATGTTTCTGTGCTGCCCAGGCAAATCCATAGGCTGCAGCAGCTAGAGACGCTGGACATTCGGCAAACCAAGATACAAGCCTTCCCCACAGATTTTGCCAAGCTCCTGATGCTCAAGCATCTGCTCGCAGGCCATGCAGACTTCTCCCCGGTCAAGGACACCATCAACTCCAAGGAATCATTTTCCACGCCGCGGATGCCCCATGGAATCGGGGCCATGAGGGGGAACCTGGAGATACTGTCACACGTACAGGTCTCCGGGAGTGGCAGTGAGTCGATGCTCATGGATGTTGGGCAGCTAGTCAAGGTACGGAAGCTAGGAGTTGTTCTCCATGGCAAGAAGGTTGCCAGCTCCTTCAAGCATCTCCTCCAAGCAATCAGCAAGCTGCACAAATGCCTTCGTTCTTTGTCAATCCGAATTGGACATCCTGTCGATGAGACCGATCCTCTTACATTCCGCATGGATCAAGAGAATCCATTTTCACCTCCCGAGTTTCTCCAGAGCCTGTACATCGGCGGCCTCACAGGCGTTGGGCTGCCTCCATGGATCACAGAGCTCCACCAATTTGCCAAGATTACCTTGCGCGACACCTCCCTCAAGGATCATGCCATACGACTCCTTGGCAAACTCGGTGGCTTGCGCTGCCTTAGGCTCCGACAGATGTCCTACGGCGAAATGAAGATCACTTTTGGGAAAGAAGAATTCCCAAGCCTCAAGTTTCTCGCCATTGAGTGTTCCGACATCACCAACATAATCTTCGAGAGTGGAACGGCACCTAGGCTTGAGAAGCTAGCTTGGGCTTTCAAGAGCATGCAGTTCATCTCCGGAATCGGCAATCTCCCAAGGCTGAAAGAGCTCGAGCTCAGCGGCAGCTGCAACCCAGACCCCGTGAAGCAGGCCGTCGCAGCACACCTGAATCATCCCGTCTTCAAGCACAATGCCTGAAGTTAGCCACTGCAGGCACCGACCAGTACGAGCCTGCTTGCTCTGGACTCTGGAGTGAGTGATGATTGTGTTGTGAGTGTTGCATGCTTGTGTGTTCCTACTTCTGATTGTTTTCCTCATTCTATCATGGACTGTGATTTGTATACGGTGTGGGATTGTTATACCATTGTGTGTTGGCTACGCAATAAAGACTTGTATTTCTACTGTGTGCAACAATCTTTCTTTCGTTTTGCTGGAACCGGTTCCACTTTGAGTTCTCTGTTTGAGTGTCTGCAATGCTACACCTCAGCCATGTCTAAATGGAAAAGATGTCATGTGCACCTAGGTGAAAAGATAAGCACATTGAGGCTTTGAAAGATTGTAAAAAGAATGTAGATACATTGTGGGGCTGAAATGAAGTATGAATCTATAAATTTTGGTCAAAAAATATGTCCAGGCTGTTCACACTTATGGTTTCTTAGACAATTATCTCCCGTGTTTTTTTTCTGTATATCCCACTGAAGGACATATTTGTGGCCCAAAATTTGAAGATCCACACTTTATCAAGTGATGTACATGTAAAAATCGAAATTTTTCAAAATATGAACATTTTTCTATTTTTCAAAATTTAAATAAATGGGATGGGCACACAAAAGTTGTTCTCCGTCTAAATGACCCTATATTGCGATGTAGAATTAGTAACTACATTAGTTTGTGCAATGATTTTCTTAGCTTGCCAATTAAGACTGGAAGCAGCTAGCATCGAAGGAATAAGCCAAAAACTTAGATATCGATAGCTTGCCAATTAAGGCTAGAAGCAGCTAGCATCAAAGGTACAAGTTAAAGCCAAAAACTCTGATGTTGTTAACTTGACAATTAGGACTGGAAGCGATTAGCACCAAAGGAAGAAGCTAAAGCCCAAAAGCTTTGATATTCTTAGACTGTCAATTAAGACTGGAAGCAGCTAGCATTAGTTTGCGCAATGATATTCTTAGCTTGCCAATTATGCTTGTACTAATTATGGCCAAAGGGTACCCTACAACTTTCTTTTGTCATGATGATCAGAAACTTAGATTCTTGTCTTGATGGTTGCCAATTCTTTTGGCATGCACATGCTCCTTTGGCTATTCATTCTTATTGCCAACATTGGCCAAATAATGGGCAAGTGAAACCTTGACAGAAATTTTAGCTAGACACTTTTCTGCTACAGTAAACTTGAGCTCAAACCGAACGAAAGACATCCTAAACCCACGGCACGCAACTCGGTATCAGCTCTGGGATTAGCAGCCAGCAAGTTATACCAGGATGTGCTTAATTGAAGTGAAGCAAAGCAAAGGATCTGTCATGGAAACTTGCAAGTCTTGTCCAAACATATTGCCCTCCTTCCACCGCAAGATCCATACCCATTGACTAATTTGATTGTATATACCGCTGCCGCAGTTTCCATACACATTGTATTCTCATAGGCTCCCCTTCTCTGAGCTAGCCGTAATAACCTACTATCACTAGCCATCAAACCGTGCAGACGCATAGGTTAGTATATCTAAGATGTCGTCACGCTCTACCTCCGTCATCGTCGCCAGAGCAGTGAGCGGGCACCATTTGCTCAAGATCGATGGGTACTCGCAAACCAAGGTGGTCACCCATGGTAGAGGCATCAAATCCTACACTTTTAAGGTCGGAGGCCACAGTTGGCTTCTCCAGTATTACCCCAATGGCGAGCCCTCGGGTCCTGACACTTACATAGATGATGTCTTCATTCAGCTTGTCAGTGTAAGCAGGGACATGCCGGTCAAGCCTGACAAGGGCATCTCAGCTCAAGGCTCGCTCAGTTTACTGGACAGGGCTGGGAAGCCAGTGCCATCATATACCAGCACCTTCAATAGAAGTTTCACAACCACTGGGATCTTGGTCTGGTACACCTCAAGGACGACCCTAGAGAACTCAGGTTATCTCAAGGACGATTGCTTCACTCTCAGGTGCGACATCACCGTCACGGAGCTGCGTGCCGAGAAAACAGAGGATTGCGATTTCGCCTATCTCCTGTGGAAGGAGGGGGCAGATGTGGCCTTCCATGTGGGAGGTGAGACAACCGCCGCCCATCAATGGGTGCTGGCTGCCCGGTCTCCGATCTTGAAGGCAGCAGCCGAAGCAGAGCTCCTTGGCGTGCCAGAAAGGGAGAAGAAAGACGCCCACGGCCACCGTAAGGATTGACGACATGGAGGCAAAAGTGTTCAAGGCTTTGATCCACTACATATATATTGATGCATTGCCTGATGAGATAGACAAGGGCTGAGACTGGGAGAAGCAAGGATACCATGATCACGGTCATGGTGGCCATTTCTATTTGTCAATGCTGTGTTGGTCAATGTAAGAAGTACTACTGGTGACAATCAACTATGCTCCATACTAATAATATGCTGATGTACATTCGTTTATGTTTGGGGATTGTAGTTGTATTTGCTATACAATTATAATGCTTATGATTTCTTTTAATGTGTTATATCAACACTTAGAAGACTGCCAGATGAAAAGCCTAGCTCTAGCCTCCATGGTGGCGCCCTCCAGCGCCTCTAGCTCTGGAGTGATGATTGTGTAGTGATTGTTTGCAATGTTTGTGCTTCTCTATGAACCCTACTGATCAGTGTGTGTTGCATGCTTGTGTGTTCCTACCTCTGAATGTGTTCCTCATTCTGTCATGGACTATGATATGCATGTATCGTGTTTCATGCTCACAATGTATACCTATAAAAGAAATTGACAAAATTTTCCAAACCAGGTTTACGTCTGCCACGAAAAAGGGGCTGCCGATGGCGGTAGGCCCACCAGCACCCCTGCCCGTTCCGTTGCACTGACGCAAACGTGTTATCGTCAAGCTGCCACCGTGCGCTGTGGCGGCAGGCTCTGCCGCCGCCGGCTGTGGCAGCAGGTGCCACGTGTCGGCTGCCCGACCTACCGCCATGGTAGCTCTGTCAATACGGTGCGGACGTGGTCCTTTTTGTCAATACGAAAGCATAGCTGGTCTTTTCAGACAAAAAATTGAAATATGAACCTATAAATTTTGGTCAAAAAATATGTCCATTTTGAGGGTTGTGCACAGTTATGGGCTCTAGTTTAGACCGTCCTCTCCCATGTTTCTTTTTCTTTTCTGTATAACCCACAAAAGGACATATTTATGGGCCAGAAGTTGAAGTCTTGAAGATTCACACTATCGGACAATGTACATGTAAAACAATTCAAAATATCAACGTGCATGCTTTTCTATTTCTTTTTAAAAAAGGGCA